AGAATGAAATTGGATCCTTATGTCCCACCATATCCAAAAATTAACTCAAGATGGATTAAAGACTCAGATGTGAGACATGAAAGCAGAAAATCCTAGAACAAAAACTAGAAAAAAAAAAATTGTCTGGACATTGGCCTGGGCAAAGAATGTGTTTGACTAAAACTCCAAAAGTAATTGCAACGTAAGAAAATAAACAAATGGGACTTAATTAAACTGAAAGGCTTCTTCATAGCAAAAGAAATAACAGAGTAAAAAGACAACCTACAGAATGGGAGAAAATATTTTAAAACTATACATCCAACAAAGGACTAATCAAGAATCTACAAGAAACACAAATTAGCAAGAAAAAAATGAATAATCCCATTAAAAAGTGAAAAAATGACATGAACAGATAGTTTTCAAAATATATACAAATGGCCAGAAAACACAGGAAAACAGTTCTACATGAATAAGCATCTCGGATGCAAATGAAAACCACAATGAGATATCACCCTACCTCTTCAGAATGGCCATTATTAAAAAGTCAATAAATGATAAGATACGGGTGTGGATAAGGTAAAAAGGGAATGCTTACACACCTTTAGGTGGGGAATGTAAATTAGTTCAAGCTGTATGGAAAACAGTGTGGAGATTTTTCAATGAACTAAAAGCAGGTCAGACATTCAATCCAGAAATTCCACTACTGGGTATCGACCGAAATGAAGTCATTCAATCAAAAATGCATCTGTACTTCTAGGTTTACAATTGCAAAAATATGAAAAATTATGAAATCAGTTGGAGTGCCCATCAACTACTCAGTGGATAAAGAAAATGTGGTATTTATACCACAAAATACTACTCACTCATAGAAAAGAACAACATTAAGTCTTTTGTAGCAATTTTGATGAAACTGGAGGTCATAATCATAAGTGAAGTAACTCAGGAACAGAAAACCAAATACTGCATGTTCTCACTTATAAGTGGGAGGTAAGCAATGGCTACGCAGGGACATAACAAAGTACAATCAAGAACATTAAACATTCAGAAAGGAGGAAGACTCAAAGGGGGTGAGGGATGAAAAATTACCTATGAGGTAACATTTAGATTATTCATGTGATGGGTATACTAAAATCCCAAACTTCACCACTATGCCAATCATCCATGTAACCAAAAACCACTTGAAACTATAAAGCTATTGAAATTTTTAATAATCTACTCAAAAAAAGCAGTGCAGCATGATTAACTACTTTTTAAGTGTGTGTTGTATATGATGACTTTTTTTCCTAGACATACAACATGAAAAAAGAGAAAAAATTATATTTAAAATTAAAGAAGAAATTTGTTAGAAACTACTTCATCCAGGTGATTAAATTAATATTGACACTGATAAAGTCTGTTGATAGACTGTGCCCTGGATATTATGGGATGAGAATGGCATTTTTCATCTGTGATTTTCCTCCCCTAAACCCACAAATTCAGTCTCATCATGAGAGAAACACCAGAGAAATCCCAAATTAGAAATGTCAATGATATCAAAAACAAGGAAACTCTGAGAAACGTAAAGACATGATATCTAAATGTGATAATGTGCCCTGGATGAAATTCTAAAACATAAACAACATTAAGTGAAAACTAAGAAATCTGAAGAAAGCATATATAGTACTTAATGATAATACATGATATTTGTTGCTTAATTTTGACAAATGTCCTACATTAATGCACAAGGTAAATAATAAGGGACGCTGTGAGTGGAGTACATGGAAACTCTTTACTATATTTGTAATTATTCTGCAAATGTAAAACTATTCTTTAAAAAAAGTGTTTGTTTTTGTTTTTGTTTTTTTTTTTGAGATGGAGTTTCGCTCTTGTTACCCAGGCTGGAGTGCAATGGCACGATCTCGGCTCACCGCAACCTCCGCCTCCTGGGTTCAGGCAATTCTCCTGCCTCAGCCTCCTTAGTAGCTGGGATTACAGGCACGTGCCACCATGCCCAGCTAATTTTTTGTATTTTTAGTAGAGACAGGGTTTCACCATGTTGACCAGGATGGTCTCGATCTCTTGACCTTGTGATCCACCCGCCTCGGCCTCCCAAAGTGCTGGGATTACAGGCTTGAGCCACCGTGCCCGGCCAAAAAGTGTTTGTTTTTTAAGACAGGGTCTCACTCTGTCACCCAGGCTGGGGGGTAGTGGCATGATCTTGGCTCACTGCAACTTCTCCCTCTTTTCAAGTTACTCTCTGCCTCAGCCTCCCGAGCATCTGGGACTACAGGAATGTACCACTATGGCCAGCTATTATTTGTATGTTTAGTAGAGATGGGTTTTCACCATATTGGCCAAGCTGGTCTCGAACTCCTAACCTCAAGTGATCTGCCCACCTCAGCTTCCCAAAGTGCTGGAATTACAGGCATGAGCCACCATGCCCAGCCTAAAAATGTATTTTTGCAAGCTTAAGAAAACTGATGATTAGCAAAATTGTTGATACCTCCTTTGTGCATCTCCTTAACTTCATAGTTACCCTTAACCACTAAACTTAACTATATTGTGAATTCTTTGCCATTCCATATTTTTAAAAATTATTTTTCTTCTTCAGTTTTTATTTATAAATATTACTTTTTGGGTCTTTTTTTCTGTCTTCAAATTTAGGTGACTGTGTTTAATTCATCCATATGCCTAGCATAAGCATGAGAAACCATCAAACAAAATCATATTGTGGGAAATTATATAAAATATCTGGCCAGTACTTTTCAAAGGGGTTAAGGTTACAAAAAACAAGTGAGACCAAGAGAATACCTGATTCATACAGGAAAATATCTGAGGTGTCAAGCAGACATTAAGTTGGTGTCCAGTTGCTAGCCCCACCTTCTCCTATCTATTTTAATCTCACTCCAGTGAGTATAAGCAGGAAATGTGACTTGCTTTGAAACAATACAGCAATACAAAGATGTGGAAATGTCACTTAGATTCATACATTAAATACATTACATATGATTATGATATTCTTGCCAGAAATCTCTTTCCCTTGATGGATTTTATGAATCATTTTGCCATGTAAGAAAAACCCACTTGGCAAGGCACTTTATTCACTCTATTGTCAGTAGTCAGGAAGGAAGGGTTGTTTTGCGCAGCAGACTGCCCTAGAGTTGGAAATATTATATTTAAAATTAACCCAAGTCACTTTTCAAATACAACTATATTGCTTCACAGGTATTATGAAAATCTTATAACAACAACATAATCTTAATTCTATTCTCCTTTCCTTTATCTTATTGCTGGCATCTATTTCATACACACACACACACACACATACACACACACACGCACACACACACACACACACAAACATACATGAAAATGTGCATATGTCTGTACATATATACATATAAATAAAAATAAGATATATAGACACATAATCTAATAATTTTTCCTATTATTTCCAAGAAATTTTCTCATAAGGATATAAAATATTATACCAATAAAGTTAAAATCAAATGAAAAATGGAATAACATAAAATGCTAGTGAAAACCACAAAAGGCAGAAAATGAATGGAAGATGAAGTAGGAAGAAATAACAAGGGCAACAAGTAGAAAACAGTCAAAAATATGGTAAATATTAATCCAATTATATCAATTATTACTTTGAATGTCCATGGTCTAACTGCACTAATTAAAGACACTGACAAAGTGAATAAAAAAAAGACACAACACAAGATATGTTACCTGTAAGAAACCCAGCTTAGAGACAAAAGTAAATAAACAAAATATACGATGTTAACTCTAATCAAAGTAAACAAGAGGAGCTATATTAATTATAGGCAGAGCAGACTTCAAAGCAAGGAAAGCTATCAGGAATAAAGACGGGCATTACACAGAGATGAAGAGTCACTCTTCCAACAAAATGTCATAATTCTTAAAGCCTAAGCAGAAATCAACAGAACCACAAGAAAAAAGATGAATTCAGCAATTCAGCTTTATAGTTGGAAACATTAACACCCTACATCAGATACCGAGAGGCAGGACAGAAAAGCTGAACTCAAAAGCAACAACAAGCAACTGGGCATAACTGATATCGACAATTTACTTCTCTCAACTACTGCAGATGACACATTCTTCTTAAGCTCACATGGAATATTCAGCAAAACGTACCACATTCAGGGACACACATACCCTATCAATTTTAAGAAATGGAAATACAATGTCAGCTCTCACACAACAGTGGATTTAACAGAAATCAAAGGATAACTGGAAGAATAACTGAATATCCCAAAATGCATAGAAATTAAACAAGACAGCCCCAGAGAAATTTTTAAAGATTTTTTCAACTAAATAAAAATAAAAACAGAATTTATCAAAATTTGTGGAATGAAAGGAAAACCGCATATAGGGAAACGTATAGCAGTGGATGCATACATAGGACATGATGAAAGGTCAAAAATCTGTCAACTGTGATTCCACCCTTGGAATCTAGAAAAAGAAGAATATATTAAACCAAAGTCAGGAAAAGAAAAGCTATAACCTTGTTAGAAGAGTAAAACAAAGTAAAAGTTAGAGCAACTGGATTTTTCAAACATATTATCTTAATAGTTCTTAGAACACAGAAGCATCCAAAATTAACAGGGCAAACGAAGCACCCCAAACACCCCCTTTAAGGGCATGCACCAATGACACCCTCACAAATGGGAACCCTCCTACCTTCAGAAATGATGAGTCTCGGGCTACTGATGCCAAATAGTTTCATTTGCTCTGATGTCATACTATACATTTTAGAATTGCTAAATAATAGATTTTTAATGTTGGTCTGCTGGTGAGTTGATTCATGTGTTAATTAGCTTGATTTGAATATTCCACAATGAATACAAGAATCAAAACATCACATTGTAATCCATAAATATACCCAGTGTCCATTAAAAATAAATGGGTTGGTACATTCTTTATAAATTATTCACAAATAGAAAATTTAGGACAAATGCTATGTACATAATATAAAAGGGCACATGTGAGAGAGAAAAAGCATAAAGATTTACGTTAGTCTGGAAAACACGGGAAAATCCTGAGGTTTGTAGAATAAACATGGATGACGACCCTGGCAGGCACCGTCTCGGGAACCTGCGCGCGTTCGCGGAGAAGCGACCGTGAAATCCAAACGCTGACCCTGCAAACAGCCACCGTCACTCCCGGGCCGTCCCCGCCCTCCGCCCGCGGCCCTCACGCCCCTGCGCGCCTGGCTCCCGCCCCTCAGCATGGCTTGCGCAGCAGCCTTGGGTCCCCTCACTGCGCAGCTGCGCAGCTGTGACCCCCGCGCCCGCACTTCCGGCCAGGCCGCTCCCAGCCTCCCAGATGTGGGAGCCAGGTGGAGAGGAGCCGGCAGCTCTGAGTTTTTTGGTCCATGGATCCCACCTATACCTGCAAAAGGAGTGAGGGATCAAAAACCTATACTGGCGGGGAAGTGAGGGTCGAGCCTTGCTGAAAAGGCCAACAAGGCAACCAAGCCCCATGAACTCTCCAGTCAGGCAGCCAGCGGTCCTCTCTGCCCTTCTCCACCCTCCTTTCTCCCAGACCCACGCCCCACCGGTGGAGCCCAGGAGCCTCCCCAGTGGACAGGGCCCACTCACTCCTTACCGTCCTCCCCACAGGCTGAGCTCAGGGAACCAGACCCAGACATTCAAATCCCTACCCACAGAATACAGTCTTCAGGAAGCGACCCTCTCTGCCTCCCCTGCCCAGTCCCTCCATGGTCTGCCCTTCCTGCTCCATCTCCTCACCTGTTACTCACCCCAACAGTCCTTTCAATCCACTGCCCTCTTCTCATGCTTAACACACTTTCCTCTCCCTTTCTCTCCCCTGTCTGCTGGACCCACTGTCCCTCACTCTCCAGCACCTTCTCCATTGCTCCTCCTCCTGGAAGCTTCCATATCCGTCTCATCCCAGGCCTGAAACCTGTCCTCTCAGTTCCCAAGGGGAGCTCTTCCACATTATAGTCTAATTTTTGTCAAGTTTTCTGAAACCCCGTTGGGCGTAAGCATCATAGAACATGGCAACTTCATGTTGTTCTTTGAGCTCCACACATGTAGCAGACAAAAAGCAACTGTGAAGATTTTCTGGTAATCTAAAAAGGCACAAGCATAAATCACTTTTTAAAAGATGATCTGACAAAAGAAAATAAATGTAAGTTGCAACTTTTCTACAGACCATAATCTGAAAATATATGCTGTGTGAAGTTGTATGTGAAAATTTTTAGAGTAGCCTTCCTTTTTTAACTGAAAAGGCAATTTTGGTATTTACTCATTAAAGAATAAGAGAAGAATACATACTTATATTACGAGCCATTAGTACAAGGAAATGCCACACAGATGTTTACAAAAACTATGTAGAAGGAATCAGAGATTCAAGCCAATGTCTATAAATTTCGGAAAGGAAAAACAATATGCTGAAGTTTATTCATGCATATTAAATAAATAACTGGTCTTTGTGTCCTGGAAGGGAGTCTTGATGTTCCATCTATTCAAATTAATGCTTTGTGAACCCTGCAAATTAGAACAAACTAAGCATATACAGAACCCTTTTTAAGTATTAGTCTCCAGCAAATTTTGTCTTGTGGTTCCCAGCAAACTTTCTGCTCCTCTTCTTTTCAACTAGAAATATCTCAGAGGAGATTTCTGGAAAACACTTTATAGAGAATGGGTAGCATTTCCACTTGATTTAATAAAGAGTGATTCACTAAAATATATAAATAATTGAAGGATACTTTGAAAAATGATTATGAATGATTAAATAAAGGCACTAATACAATAATTCAAATTTAATTCTACATGTTTATGTGATAACAATGTTCATTTATAACACAAATGTCAAAGGCCTTTCCACATTAAAACAAACATGGAACAAATATTACAAGACAAGCCATGATGTGGTCATTTGTTTTCGGACAGCAAACAGAATAATTCTCTGATACACTTGATCTTTTTTTCTAGCAACATTCTGCATCACAATGTATTTATTATTTTTATTATACTTTAAGTTCTGGGGTACATATGCAGAATGTGCTGGTTTGTTACATACCTAAGTATACATGTGCCATTGTGGTTTGCTGCACACATCAACCCATTATCTACATTAGGTATTTCTCCTAATGCTAAACCTCCCCTGTTCCCCTATCTCCTGACAGATCCTGGTATGTGATGTTCCCCTCCTGGTGTCCATGTGTTTTCATTGTTCAACTCCCACTTATGAGTGAGAACATGTGGTATCTGGTTTTCTGTTCCTGTGCTAGTCTGCTAAGAATGATGGTTTCCAGATTCATACATGTCCCTGCAAAGGACATAAACCCATCCTTTTAATGGCTGCACAGTATTCCACGGTATATATGTGCCATATTTTCTTTATCCAGTCTATCACTGATGGGCATTTGGGTTGGTTCCAAGTCTTTGCTATTGTGAACAGTGCTGCAATAAACATACTTGTGCATGTGTCTTTATAGTAGAATGATTTATAACTCTTTGGGTATATACCCAGTAATGGGATTGCTGGGTCAAATGGTATTTCTCGTTCTAGATCCTTGAGACGCACTCTATTTTTCTAACACATAACTGAATTCCCCAACCAACACCAGAAGTAGGGCAAGGAAATGCTGGTGTTTCCCATGCAGACACCACAGAGATGGGCTCAGCTCTCCTGCATCTGCTTATGCACTGTCTTTAATGGGTGTAGTCTGAAGGAGGTAAACATTGTATAGTAGCAGTCTGTGTTTGTGCAGGAGGCACTCACCAATACCTGTACCGGGTTCTTCCCTTCTCCCTGTTGCTGCTGGAGTAGAAAGTTCCCCAGGCTGCAGAACGCAAGAAAGAAAATGAGAAGGCATGAGATTGAAGCAAATTCACTGAGAATGTACTAAATTAAAACAATGGAGAGTGGTGTGGAGCAATTGCCTGCTTCACCAGCACCTTGCAGAAAAACAGCAATGTTCTAAAGATCTAAGCACTTTCTTTATTGAGGGTACAACTTGGAATATTGGTGCAGGTGCAAGGCATTGAGGCTTTTACTCCTGTCTTCATACCAAAACAGCACAGAAGTTAATGGAATGGGTGCTAGAGGAGAAATTCTTGTGTTAAAGGAACACTCAATAACAAGACAGTGTGGTATTTGTATAGAGATAGTGAGATGAACAAATGAAAAGAGAGCTGAAAACATATATATAAATATATATATATATATACATACACACACACACACACACACGCACACACACACATATGCAAACAATTCATAAGAAAATATTTTTGGAGGATTTTCAAGAAATATTTCAGGATATCGAGTATCCATCACAGGAAAAGATATCTACCTATAAATACACGTTACACACAAAAACAGTTCTACATAGATCATAAATCAAAGTATAAAATATTCAATGCAAAATTTAAAACCTTAGGGAAATAATGTCATGACCATGAGGTAGGGTAAGAATTCTTAAACTACACCAAGAAAGTATTTGTCCTATAAGATAAAGGTACTGTAGCAGAGTTGATGTGTGTGAAGACTCTGGAGACAGACTGAATCAAGATGAAGCTTATTCTATTCCTTTCCTGTTGGGCTTTAGCTCAGATTCAGAACTAAACCATGGAAGAGGTAATAGTGCCCACTGCTTGAGTTGTGAGGATTGAACGAACTAATAATATATAAAGTATTTAGACTAATAGTAGGTCTTTAACAAACACTGTCAGTATTTACTAATACTGACAGCTTTCTCTAAGTAATGCAAGCAGTATTATTTGAAGCAACTGAAAAATGCCTCATTATTTTATGTCACTATGAAAGCAAATCCATTGAAAAATGATAACTTACGACTTATTTTTATTTCATATTAAAATAATTGAAAACATTGAATTAAAAACATACTGAAAATTATTACAAATGTACAAATGTTGATATTTGTTTTATATTAGTCCTATGATTAATGTAGATACTTGTTTTATATTACACATATGATTATATGAGATGGGAAATACAAGCAAAACACATTAACATAAGTATCTTAAAATTTTTCTCAGTCAGACCAAACTCTTCTGAATCACTTCTCAATACATTTTAACCAGGATTTTTCTTACATTGTCAACATCTCTGCTAATCAGAAGCTTTGTTGATGTGCATTTCTTAGGAGTATCCTGTACTACTCGTGTCCGATTATTTTTCCAACCTGCTCATGGCCCCTTTGCAAGTTTTCAGGCTGACAATATCACTAGAATGTGACTATGGAAGGTTTTTACACCAAGTTATTTTACACCACGTGTGTGCCAATAAGGGCAATCACAATTTGACTGCTGTCTGGCCAATAGTGTTTTCGGAGTATCAAGTTCTTTATGCATTCTATTTTAAAGATGTGAAAATGTGGGCTCACACCTGTAATCCCAGCACTTTGGGAGGTCAAGGTGGGCAGATCACTTGAAGTCAGGAGTTAGAGACCAGCCTGGCCAATATGGTGAAATACCATCTCTACCAAAAATATAGAAATAAGCTGTATGTGATGGCACATGCCTGTTAAAAAAGAAAACACAGCTGAAAAATAGACATATATATACATGATCAAATATTTTATAAGTCAGTGAAAGGGAATAGATGATTTTTTATAAAAATGTCTTAGAAAATAGAATATCCTTTTAGGGAAATTAAAACCTGACATTTGGCCTCACATTACACATGAAGTTAATTCCAGGTGGATCATAGGCCAAAATATAAAAATATTTAATGCAGTCTATAGAAAACAATTTAGGAAAATATCTTCATGACCATACAGCAGGGTAAGAGTCCTGCAACTAACCTTAGAAAGTATTTACCATATATGAGAATACACATTGGAACATAGCACATATGAGCTAGGCCTCTGGACATAGACTGAGTCAAGCTCAGATTCCTCTACATCTTTACTTCAGAGTGTTTGGATCAGATTCAGTGTTGGACTATGGGAATGGTAATAGCGCCTACTTCTTGAATGTTGGCCGGATTGTATGAACTAATAACATTTTTAGCACATAGTGTAAGTTAACTAGTATGACAGCTTTTTCTAATTGTGCGATGTATCACTGAAATATATCACTCAAAGATAAGATTGTCAGAGTGGGTGAAAAAGCAAGGCACAACT